TGGCTCGTCAAGTTTAACCTGAGTATTCCGCGTGTGCAACTGTTTTGCACCCGTTGTATTTGAACGTAGAGCCTATCACACCCGATCATCACGTGGTGTCTCAGCACGAAGAACTTTTGCAACGGTGCATACTCAGGGAGAACACTTCTTGATAATTAGTGAGAGATCATCTTATAATGCTACCGTCAATCAAAGCAAGATAAGATGCATAAAAGATAAACATCACATGCAATCAATATAAGTGATATGATATGGCCATCATCATCTTGTGCTTGTGATCTCCATCTCCGAAGCACCATCGTGATCACCATCGTCACTGGCGTGACACCTTGATCTCCATCGTAGCATTGTTGTCGTCTCACCAAGCTTGTGCTTCCATGACTATCGCTACCGCTTAGTGATAAAGTAAAGCATTACATCGCGATTGCATTGCATACAATAAAGCGACAACCATATGGCTCCTGCCAGTTGCCGATAACTCGGTTACAAAACATGATCATCTCATACAATAAAATTCAGCATCATGTCTTGACCATATCACATCACAACATACCCTGCAAAAACAAGTTAGACGACCTCTACTTTCTTGTTGCAAGTTTTACATGGCTGCTACGGGCTTAAGCAAGAACTAATCTTACCTACGCATCAAAACCACAACGATAGTTTGTCAAGTTGGTGCTGATTTAACCTTCGCAAGGACCGGGCGTAGCCACACTTGGTTCAACTAAAGTTGGAGAAACTGTCACCCGCAAGCCACCTCTGTGCAAAGCACGTCGGGAGAACCGGTCTTGCATAAGCGTACGCGTAATGTCGGTCTGGGCCGCTTCGTCCAACAATACCGCCGAACCAAAGTATGACATGCTGGTAAGCAGTATGACTTATATCGCCCACAACTCACTTGTGTTCTACTCGTGCATATAACATCAACATATAAAACCTAGGCTCGGATGCCACTGTTGGGGAACGTAGTAATTTCAAAAAAATTCCTACGCACACGCAAGATCATGATGATGCATAGCAACGAGGGGAGAGTGTGATCTACACACCTTGTAGATCGACAACGGAAGCGTTTGGTTGATGTAGTTGTACGTCTTCACGGCCCGACCGATCAAGCACCGAAACTATGGCACCTCCGAGTTTTAGCACACGTTCAGCTTGATGACGATCCCCGGACTTCGATCCAGCAAAGTGTCAGGGAAGAGTTCCGTCAGCACGACGGCGTGGTGACGATCTTGATGTACTACTGTCGCAGGGCTTCGCCTAAGCACCGCTACAATATTATCGAGGACTATGGTGGCTGGGGGCGCCGCACATGGCTAAGAATAAGATCACGTGGATCAACTTGTCTCCTCTGGGGTGCCCCTGCCTCCGTATATAAAGGACCAAGAGGGGGAGGCCGGCCGGCCACATAGGGCGCGCCAGGAGGAGTCCTACTGCCTCCGGGAGTAGGACTTCTCCCCCAATCCTAGTTGGAATAGGACTCACGAGGTGGGAAAAGAGAGAGAGAGAAGGAAGGGGGCGCCGACCCCCTCTCTCCTTGTCCTATTCGAACTAGGGGGGAGGGGCGCGCGGCCCAGCCCTGGCCGCCTCTCCTCTTCTTCCACTAAGGCCCATTAAGGCCCATGTACCTTCCGGGGGGTTCCGGTAACCTCCCGGTACTCCGGTAAAATCCCGATTTCACCCGGAACACTTCCGATATCCAAACATAGGCTTTCAATATATCAATCTTTATGTCTCGACCATTTCGAGACTCCTCATCATGTCCGTGATCACATCCGGGACTCCGAACAAACTTCGGTACATCAAAATGCATAAACTCATAATATAACTGTCGTCGTAACCTTAAGCGTGCGGACCGTACGGGTTCGAGAACAATGTAGACATGACCAAGACATGTCTCCGGTCAATAACCAATAGCGGGACCTGGATGCCCATATTGGCTCCTACATATTCTACGAAGATCTTTATCGGTCAGACCGCATAACAACATACGTTGTTCCCTTTGTCATCGGTATGTTACTTGCCCGAGATTCGATCGTCGGTATTCCAATACCTAGTTCAATCTCGTTACCGGCAAGTCTCTTTACTCGTTCTGTAATACATCATCCTGCAACTAACTCATTAGTCGCAATGCTTGCAAGGCTTAAGTGATGTGCATTACCGAGAGGGCCCAGAGATACCTCTCCGACAATCGGAGTTACAAATCCTAATCTTGAAATACGCCAACCCAACATGTACCTTTGGAGACACCTGTAGAGCTCCTTTATAATCACCCAGTTATGTTGTGACGTTTGGTAGCACACAAAGTGTTCCTCCGGCAAACGGGAGTTGCATAATCTCATAGTCATAGGAACATGTATAAGTCATGAAGAAAGCAATAGCAACATACTAAACGATCGGGTGCTAAACTAATGGAATGGGTCATGTCAATCAGATCATTCACTTAATGATGTGATCCTGTTAATCAAATAACAACTCATTGTTCATGGTTAGGAAACATAACCATCTTTGATTAACGAGTTAGTCAAGTAGAGGCATACTAGTGACACTTTGTTTGTCTATGTATTCACACATGTATTATGTTTCCGGTTAATACAATTCTAGCATGAATAATAAACATTTATCATGATATAAGGAAATAAATAATAACTTTATTATTGCCTCTAGGGCATATTTCCTTCATGGACTGCCACTAGTTCTTATCCATCTACTAATGTGCAGTTTTGCAACAACGCACACGAACTATTTGGTATTGCTAGAACATAATTTGCATAGAGTTCTAGCAAAAGAACCATGCGTGATGACTGAAATCAACGCAAACAGTTTGATTCTTTAAAGCGTTTGCAATGCATCGTCCACGGGTCCTACAATTGAACCATGTCTGATGAGGAAATCATTACACACATTTAGTTTACACGGACCGTGTCCAACGAATCGCAATCAAGTTTTTACAAATAAGCGTGTGTGATGATTCCAGCTTCGCACACGTTCGCTTTTTCGACACACAATTATATTTTTATATCTGTGTGTGATGTGTTCATCACACACGTTTTTTTCCTCATCATGTGCGAAGGTCTTAATAGCACGGACGTGTACTAGTGAATAGTAATAGTAGAAACTAGAAAGCTAGAAACATGAGCATCTTTCTTGTAATATATATAGATACCAACAAGAATACCTTTCTTGTAATATATATAGACATGATGAGGAGCATCTTGTAATATATATATAGACAATTAGACATGAATAGGAGCATATTTATTGTAACATATATAGATATGAGCAGGAGCATCTTTCTTGTAACATAAATAGACATGAACATCTTTCTTGTAACATATATTGCGAATGATAACAGTAGAAAGTTAGAAACAAGAACATGAGCATCTTTCTTGTACTACAATAATTGAGTGATGATCAAGACAACTTCTTGTAACTCACTCACGAACGTTTAAGTAGAGGATGGAGCCGCGCAAGATGGCGCAGATGGCTTGCAAATAGACTTCCTATTGCTAGCTTGGAGTGCCTTCAACTTGGATGAATTTGTACTACCAACTCTTCAATTAGTTTTGAAAAAAATGAAATAAACATGTAATAAGCATACAAAGTTAGAAATAAAGGAAATTACATAGAAGACAATCACAACATGTTACCCTTTTCTAACATTAACAATTCCTCCATATCTTCTTCAATGTTGATAGTAGTAGAACCCCTTAGCCAATCTTGGGTACAAACAAGAGCTTGGACCATGAATGAGGTAAGTGAGATTCTAAAATCATTTAGGATACATCTACTTGTGCTAAATCTCAACTCCGATGCAACCGTTGATGCTGGGAAATATAACACATCACGACCATCCTAACCAATATTGGGAATCTAGCAGCATACGCCTTCCACCATTTTAGAGTGTCAAAGTCATCATTATTTGCTTCATTCTCTTCATGTAGGTATTCTCAAGTTCAGATTTCCTCATGCTAATTTCACCACCAACAACAACTCCCAGCTTTTTATTTATCCGAGGCACCAATTTCCTTCCTGCCCTTTTATGAGTTGGTTCGGATTATGGAGCACCCACATGCTAACTTGCATCAATTGGTGCATACATAGCTTTGTACTCTGCAACCAAAGCATGCACACAGGTTTTCACCTTCTCCCAAACTTTGTCTCCATTTAACTCGGCATACATTCTTTCAATGGCTAGTTTTATGTAATTTGATAGCTTGAATCTTGGATCAAGAACAGCTGCAGCAAATACAAACATGTTCACATTCTTCTCTTCCTTTTTTCTTTGCTTTCCCATTCCCCTTGTCATTCTCATTCACCACCTTCGCATGCCAAGGCCCCCAATACTTATCATGCTTATCTTGCATTTTCTTGGCCATGTATTTCGCAAAATATCATCACTGTCAGCCCACACTTCCAACACAACATTAACTTCAGCAAAATATCACATGGAGTGTGACGGAAACACTAAGAGTGAGCTCATAAAAATGTCCAAGAAATTCAGCCATTTTCTTAGCATTGTCCTAATCACTATCAAGAGAGTACCAAGAGCTTTCTAACTGTTTAAATCCAACGTATAGAAGTGGGTCTTCCTCCTCATACCCTACAAACATTTTTTCATAGTTGACCGCGGTTTTCAACATTAGATATGTGAAATTTCATCTAGTGCATATATCCTAACTCAAGAATACAGCCTTGTCCACCTTTTCTAACTCAGCAAATTCTTTTAAATTTTATAATTCTAGATGGCCCACTGGCACTGAATGGGACCAGATTTAATCTCCGTTAGCTGAGTTTAACAAACCCGTACACTATATTGATACGGAGAACATCCCGTTACAAGTAGCCTAAGACACTTCATTCAGCAGTGTTTATAAATAATACGTGTACACCCATTAGCACGCGGCCATGCGCTAATCCCTCCGCACCTGGTGATCGCGCTTACATATCGATTGGTCGGCCAATGCTGACTGTCACGGCCGTACGCTGAGGTGTTCTTGTCACGCAGACGCCGGAGGAGCAGCGTGGATCTCCGATAACGGTGTACGTGGCCCCATCGCCTGATGTTCCGGCGCCTCTGACGACGCACGGACCGCATCATCTGGGTCCGGCTCGGATGAAGGAAGGGCGTCATCTGGGTCCGGCTCGGATGAAGGAAAGGCGTCATCTGGGTCCGGCTCGGATGAAGGAAGGTCGGCGACCACCGGGCCTGACGTGGTGGGCATGCCGGCGCCGGCGCGGAGAGGCCTCGGCAGAGTCTTGGTCTTGCAGCCGTCGTAGCACTGCCCGAAGCAGGCCCCAGTGGCCTCGCGGTCTGCAAAAAGAATTTACCACCACATCGTCGTTGTCGGCTCATCATACGTGACGTGAGTGCAGTGGTTGCGCATTACTAATTCATGGCGCGCATGAACTGTGCCAATCTGATTACCTGGATCCAGACGGTGGCAGGAAGTCCTGGCGCAGGAGAGCTGGCATCCCATGTCGCCGGAGGCGGCAGCCGCCGCCAAGGGCCGCTGGGGCGCGCCCGCGTAGCAGGTCTTGTCGCAGGCGTAGTTGCAGTAGTCGATCATGTTCTTGTCCTTGGCGATGCAGTCCTTGAAGCAGTAATCGAAGCAGTCGGCGTCCGCCGCGCCGGCCAGGAGGAGCGGCGCCACCACCACCACCAGCACCGCGCTAAGAGCACACGCTCGCCCGGCCGCCATTGCTACACTCTGGTCTCTGGAGTAGCGTGATCAAACGCGCGCGCGGGCGGTGGTCTTATAGAGAGGGTCGATCGTCACGCCAGACTCATGAGTGTCTACGGGAGAGATGAATGCGTGTACGCAGGGCGATGTCTAGTTCTTGCAACAGCAGTGCGGTTGCTGTTTCTAGCTGTGGCCGTTGCATTGTACGTATATATCGGGCAGGAGCGCGCGCACAAGGGAAACGGATACGCGCCGGCAGCAGTTGTGCAGGGGCGGAAGGCGTGA